GTGCCAATTGTGACAATTAATATATCGTTTAACAATTAATTGACTTGATTACTTTATGTGTCTGTCACTCAGATATGGTGGATAGATATGAGACTGGACATTTTAAGCTAGTGGTCTTGGACTGGTAAACTCAATAAACTCGAAGAAGTCAAGGAAGGAATTTGTGCAGACTGGAGCGAATGGGAAGCTGGAGCATCCCGCCCGCTCCGGCCGTTAGCGACTCACGGAGGGCCATGCGGTGCCATGTACTCCCAAGCTCTGCCCTACACAGAGCAGGCAGGGCAGGGGGTACGTTCAGCCCCTCACATTAATGCCCTTGCCATCAACTCCAGTTTACATGACTATGTCAGGCTGAGCCGCAGCAGCTGATTCATGCTCCCTGCTGGAGTTTGCTGCAGTGGCTAAGGAGCGGCCTCCCCCACATCTCTTCAGCCAGTGCAGCTACATCTGACAGGGAAAATGAATCAGAGTCCTAAGGGGGATAGATTAGGGAAAAAAAGATGTGAGAAAGGAAATAGGGAAAAAGAAGAAAGAGAATAAAGAAGTGAGGGCAGGAAAGGAAAGAGCATTAGTGGACGGAAGGAGAGGTTGTTAAAGTGCCAGAAGGAAACAAAAAGGGATAGGAATTTCCTAGGGTATTTCTCAAAAGCCTAAACTCAGAGGAGCCGGGAAGCCAAGGATCCTCACACCTATTAGTTAAACCAATAACTAAAGTTATTGTTTACCTTTAAGCTTCAGCTCAACAAAGCCAGTTATGGAATTATATAAAATATAATCTGCAAGCTAACTGAAGAAGCATCACTGAGATTTGAATATCTAAGCTCTAAAATGAAGCAAATTACACTCATAAACAGCTAACAAAGCATGGAAAGGATCAGTGTGAGCAAGTAAAAATGTCCAAGAGAAAAGCACAAGAGAAATCAACACTTTGAAAGCGCAACATAGCAAGCAATAGTTTGGTAGAAAGAAAGGCAAAATCCCTACTCAGCTAAACTAATAAATAATCAATTAGCAGGGGAGGGGAATTTTTGAATGACTTAGAAGGTACCTAGGGACCAATGAGGACGAAGGAATCCCACTTCAGATTCTACTCACAGAATGTACCTGAAGACATAAAGACTCAGTGAGAACCAGAGACCTTGATTATAAATGCTGCTAGACACTTGCTTGTCAGTTTAGTCATATACTAAACATAACAGAAACCATCAGATCTGGATTAAGTGCTCTTCAGAGAAGGTGCATTATTTTTTTCTTTTATTTTATTTTATCTCTATGTATATGTGCTAGCAATTTAGGATTTTGTAAATAAATAAGTTACTTTTAATTTGACTTTTCTTAGGAGTTTTCCCAAGGAAGCTAGCTGACCTCTAAACCATTCCATTCTTTGCCAGTGAGCATCTCAAGAGACTGCGTGTTACAGATAGGCAAGGTGACCTGCTCTCCATGCCTGCATGTGGCTCTGGGTCTCTGCATGCAGCAGCCCGGACTCAAGAGCTGGCAACGGACACCTAGTGATGCCCAGAATCAACAAGAACCAGCTGGTGCCTCATAGCTTAGCTGCTTTAGCTGGACCCAGATAAATTCTCCGAACTACGTTCCTCGGCTTTTCTGACAACAATAATATGCTATTAAAGCAACTATACTGCTTGTACTTGGAAAGTGCAGGTCTCATGACTGTGAAGCAGGAAAGCAACTAAATTGCTTTCAGGTGACCCAGATGTCACTCTGCTTAAGCTAACTTGCCAGCCCCACGCTTTTATGTCTCTGAATCTATTATAAAGTTAATCTGCAATCTGGATAATTCTCAAGAGTCAACTCTAGTTAGGAATTGAAAGTTCACCTACACTCCTGACACCTCCTGCGTTCATCTTAAGAGTATGAAAGTCAGCAAGAAGTGGCTATTATCTTTCTTCTGTTAGTTGTTGAATGATATAATACAGTCCAGTTTCCGTTCCAAAAAGTACCCACTGTCCTGACAGTGAATTTATATAGACCAAGCAGTGATGCTTTTGTACAGGGCAGTCTTACATTCAGATAGGTCAGGAGCATGACTAGAAAAAACACAATTCCTCCTCAGTAAGCATTAGCCCTTGTCCACTTCTTCCCCTCCTAAAATTTACAGCCACTTCTATCCACCTTTCATCTGCTCAGGAAAAAAAAAATGATGGCAAGGCAGCCTTTTCTTATGTTCTTGACTTAAACAAAACCAGGCTTTCACATTCAAAGAGATTCATACCCTACCACTAAGATAATAGTTGAGCTGTGAGTCCARAAGTCCCCCTACTGTGTGCTTAGCATTCATGGGTGGTCAAGTTTGTAACTGAGCTACCTCACCATGGTGCAGCAAGAATGCAGGGATTTATTTTATGTAATTGGCATTCTGCATCTACTTTTGGTGCACTGCATCACAATGTACATTACAGACTATTCAGTCACAATATACTGTACCTACAGCACTGCTCAACCACAGTCATTGAATATGGGAGGAAGGATGGACTAAAGATTGGAGAAAAAAGAAAAAGGGGTGGTTGGGTCTTGTAGATTTTTTTTTCCACATGATTTAAAGATAGTTAAGTATTCTGATCATTCTTCTTCTCCAACTCATGTCAAAGTCTTCTCACACTATACCCCTTCTCAGGATCTCAGTTTATTTTGTCATTACGTTCTGAAGATAACCTTTGCTTTTTTAGTACCCAAGTACCCATGATATAAGATATCTCCCTTTCTACAACAGTCTTTCTTCTTGGCTACTGAAGTGCTTCATAACTGCCCTGTCTCAATTTCAAACTGCTCCAGTACCAGCTAGCTTCTCTGATTGTAAATTATATCATTGCAACTTCTTCTGAATGTGTAATAAGTTTGCCCTTGGTCATCAAATGTATATCTGTCTTTTTACCTTCCATGTTGTGTACAAATCAGCAGAAGTCAGACTTAGCTTTTGTAATACCCTAATCTTTTCCCATTCTCTCTAATAATGCTCTCTAATAATGCCACTCACTTTAGTTCTCTCTCTCTCTGTTCTTGTTTGCTCTGTGGCTAGCCTTGTCCTGGTACGCAAAGATGTATTCTCTCTTCATACAAACCTTAACTCTTTCTGAAAAGCACTAAATTAAGAGATTAGAAGCAATGATAGTAGCTCCTTCAGCACCTAGTTTTTCAGTCTGTAGGCTGAAGTGCAGCTCTCCAGAGCAGGTACAGCTTTTCTCACTGTGCCTTGCACCCAGCCAAGGACACTGTCAGCACGTGAGAAATAATCGTTGCCTCCTCAGAACAGCCTGCCCACCCACTAGCTGATCACTGAGCCCTGCCCAGCCCCAGGATTTCAGGCCAGCAGCTCAACCAGCCAAGTCTGGAACGCTCAAGTGTCTTGAGAAGAGCTCATCTCTGTCATCTGCATCTGGAACCATATGCAAAGACAAGCACAAAGGAGGGGGGAAAAAAAAGTGAAAAAAAAAAGTGCAACCAGCCTAAAACCTTCATTCTTTCCACTCCTTATCCTGGCAAGTGAGAAGGCTGATAGCTCTGGCTTCTCCTCCAGGCCATGGACTCCCATATACATTACTAGAGGTGAAAAAATATGTAAACCTTAAGTAAGTATTTGATCCATTATTTACTTACTGAATTCCCATAAAGGTACCTCAGCTTTTCTCCTCTTTTCTATGTGAATGTTTGTCATTCTGTAGTGGCAAACATAACAGCACATAAATGGCTAATGAAGCACATAAAAACTTGTAAAAGCCAAAATTAGGATTGTAAAAAAACCAAGTATGATTTGTATACGAGAGATCTACAAGGTCTAGTATTGCTAACTATGTGGTACAAGTACACATTTACATGTGGTATTTATATACTTGTCCTCTTGCAGAGCAAGGCAGAGTTGTCTTTGTAAAACAGAGGAGTGACGTGCTATGTTCTTTGTTCTAAACGCTGAATTACCCATATAAAGAAGAAATACATATTCTCCATTTAAGATTAAATGGCTTGCCTTTGAGCTCGTACCGAGGCTTAAGCAAGAGGAAAATGAACACTTTTATTGTTCTAAAATTGCTTCACTTATGAAACATAAAAAAAAAAAAAAAGAAAGAAAACAAACCTTCTTCTGTAGATCCATGCTCAGAAAACTGCATACAGCAACTCTTCCTACACTCTGACTAGGCTTGTTGCAGCTTCCCTGTGCCCCTGCCGTAATTAATAATCCCTACCGCAGTCTTTCATAAACCTGTCCATCTGCCCAGAAAGGAGCAGATTGATGGGTCAGGTAGAATATTTAAAACACCAAGACTTTTCAATGCATTGGCACATCTGATTCTCCTTAATATCATTTCAAAGCACAACACTTCTAAAGCTGCCTTACTTTTCTGCTGGATCGGACAGATGAAAAGCAGCAGACTGTGCTAGTGCAGAGGYAGCGGGCCCAGTAGCGAGCTGCGAGGAAAGGGGCTAGCAGAGCTATGAGAGCATGAGGAGGAGCAGACACACACAAAGTGCATTAATCAGGAAGCTGCTTCTTTTAACACAATATATTCTGTGATAGAAGGGTGTATTGCTTCCTTTGAATCAATAGTCAACATCCAGTCATATAGAGCTCCCCTCTTTTCAGTCCTATCACAGAATATTTTATGAAGCATCAGAGAAGATCTCTGAGAAGATCCTGCATGTTTGGGGCTGTGACACAGCCTTGTGTTTGGCCACACTACGGCCAGTTCCAACAAGCGTAAAAAGTACAAGTGCTGCTGTCTCCTTGCTTCCTTTTCTGTTTGACTTGCTTGTTTCTTGTAATGCACATCGATAGCTTTTCCTCACTCAGTCTACTCTCCATCATTTTCTTTGTTATCAGATTTATATCCTCCCCAAACCACCCAAAGCACTGTTTTTCCAGACAGGAAAATGAATTCATAGCACCTGAATTCAGTAGCRCTTGAGTTTAATTATTATTACATATCACTGAGATATGAAAGCATTTGAAAAGATAATTTTATAGAGAAAAAAAAGAAAAAAGAGGATTGCCTACTGGAAGCATCCCAGGAGAACAGTGTAAGCTGTCTACAGGCTGCTAGGTGCTCAATATGGAATACGTATGAGAGCTCTCACAAGTGCTTATGGTTTACAGAATAAGGGGCAGTCAAGTAAACTATTAAATCTTTCTTTTCATCTTGTTTATCCTGAAGAGAAAATCCAATACAGAGCTGTGTTCTGTTCATTTCATTTGCTAATAAACAAGGAGCTGATGCATTGACTCGGTAAGTTTGGAGAAAGGAGTATACATTATTTCAAATTCAACAAAGCTTGAGAAGTTTCATTTGGTGGAGATTGCTCCATACCACTGTATGTGGCTAAATTTTCCAAAAAGTAACAAACAGCCAGTGAAGAGAGTTTGTATTCAGATACACTTGGCTCAGAAGGTTGTGGTTTAGCCCCATAGGTAGGCTCAGATTTGACATGGGTTAAAATAAAATAGTCCTTGGCGATTGGTCACGGTAACAGAAATCTTACTTTCAGAGGGCTGGTTAAGAGGGTCCAGATCCAATTCTTCCACAGTCATTGCAGCTGGAACAGACTCACTCTGTCAGTGCCCAGCTCCATCAATCCAACGTGTCTGATGTGTCTGAGTTTCCCTAAGAAAACAGAGTAAGGGAGCCCTGAGACACACAGACATAACATAAATAAAAAAACACATTCACATTTCCAACTGTCCACACATTCTCAAGAAAGTTGCACCTACGTTATATCACCCAGCATGTGGTTTCAATTGTAACAACAATGCCCATTTGTTCGACCGCACGCTGGCTGCTAACTACACTACTGGCTGTGCTTAAGTGCGGCGGGGCCTACGGCTGCCTTTCAGGGGTCAGGTGTCTGGCGTGGGCCTGCAACGTTATGCTCGGTATAATCTTATAGATTACCCAAGCAACAGATCCACCCTCTTTGATGTCGTGAATGTTTCTGTATCTACAATATGCATATGCTATGTATTCTTTATAAGGTGGGAGGTGAAAGAGGGCACTAAGAAGAAAACAGGAAAAAAAYGAGAAAAAGAAAAATTGACATCTGTGTAGGTCTTYCCAGCACTTTGCATTCTCCTTGCATTAAATTTTCTAAAAATAACTGCTTTTTGCTACTCCCCTAAAACTGAAATTAGGCACTTTTTGACTCATTTTTATTGCAGTTGTACTCATAACAGCTGTCTTTTCCTGCAGAACTGGCTCATCTCAGCAGTCACCAAGGAGTATTTCAGAAATATCACTGAGTTTTCTGATAAAGCATTGGTGACGGTTGCCAGCTTTTAAACTTCATGGATTAAGGATATTACCAACATTTTCACTAATAGCTGCTAGATATTTACATGGGGAAACAGAAAGAAGTCAAACCTTACTTACAAGGTACTTAAAAATTTGGTGTAAAATGGAGCTAAAAACAGTGGATGGCACCTCAAACTGCCAGGAAAAGAATTTGAGCTGCATTTTCTGGATGTGCTTTACTCATGCAGTAAACCATCACAGACCTTTCTAACCCAGAAAAGCTTTCTTGGGGCATTTCTTCAGACATACTCTTATAAATACCCATTTTACCTACATATAAGTTTATGCAATTTGTGTTTTGAATGAAAACTTGGTGTTACACATTTGTCTTCAAAAGACTCCTTTGTCCTCACATTTTGGAAAGAGGACATGAAATCAAACAATGGGATGACCAATACATATGACAGTTTAATTAAAAGCAGCAATATAATGCCTGCTGAGAAAAGGACCAAGTTGTGCCATCTACCTCCGCTTTCACATTTCCTAAGTAAATGCTCAAAGTTGTAATCCTAATAACACGGTCTTCTTGAAAGGGGTGGAAGTGGGGCTTTTAATTAACTATAATGTTTGAACTACTAATTTAGGACACTTTTTTCTTTGTTTTTTTCCAAAACCTTTTTATCTTTTTATGGTTAATGCATTACAAAATGAGCAGCATGCAAGAATTTTAATGAAACCTTTAAAAGTTGCACAAAAAGGAAAAATAAGACAACAAAACAAAAGCTCCCTGAAGATTTTATTCTTTCCTTTCTAAAATACTCCATCCTGTCCTTTCTACCCCGCAGGCTTTCAGGTATCTTATGTCTGCTGCAATAGAGCAGCATGTTTCAACCCCACCTCAGCTCTCCTGGTGCCACTTAAGTCACAGCACAGAGAGGGTCACACTGGGGGTCTCTGCTTATATTTAAACTTAAACACCAAATGTTTCCAGTGAAAGCCCAGAAGACAGGGATAGGCTTAAGGGTTTATTCATCTCTGAAAAAGGTTCTTATGTCCTCTCAGTAACAAAAAGTATTTTTATTTTAGAGCCTTGTACACAAAACCTGAAGAGACTGTGAGCTGCTAATTTACCAACACTTCTGTTCTTTTGAGATGAAAGTGTGTAAACTTGAATCAATATGAAGTACAAACTATACCAACATGTGAGATAGCAAAAAAAAAAAAAAAAGAGCATCACTAATTGTTAGGTTCCTTAAAGTAGTCCCCTAGTTTCACAGCTCCTACTTCTCTATCTCCACTTATTTTCTAGGAAAAAAAAAACCTCTTCTTTGAAAGTTGACAAATCTCCAAAGGAGATGGAGATGTTAGAAAAAAATCAAAACAAGGATAAAAATGAAATTTCATTTACCAATGCAAACATGCCCTAGTTGATGTTACACACTACAGATAAACCCTTTGACAGCAGGACACTTAGTACCTGCCTATGGTTGTTTTGATCATCTTCCCACTGCTGACAGCAGGGCACTCACATGGCTCTTGTCCTGAAACTAATGATTGCTGGTGGGTTAATAGCTACRAGAGCGAAAAATTAATGAGTAGCTAATTAGCCACAAGAGCRAAAAATTAATGAGTAGCTAATAGAGGAATTCACCTCCTTCTGTTATTCTTCTTGCTTTAAATGATGAAAAGAGTAGTTATAAATCAACATGTCTTGGCATGTCCAATAGTTATTCAAGCAGCATTTTAAATAGCTGAGAGCCCCCGCTYGTTTTTTTTTCCTCTTCTTTCTAGACAGCACATCATGCACTACAGGCAGACRACACAGCTTTATCTGAGTTTAAACAGGAGTTGCAGCACCCCCAGCCCTTCCGAAGGGTAGGCATGTTTCTAAGTGACCAAGAAAAAGATTCTGAAACTGCAGTTGGGGTCAGTATGGTTTTAGATCTTAGCACAATTATCCATATAGGCAAACAAAAATGAAAGAATGGAAATTCTTCTTACAGAGGAACTTTATTGCTTTTGAAGGGAAATGGATGTGGTTCTGCATTACAAATCCTTCCTGTGGTCAAGCCATTTTAAGGTACTTCCACTTTCAGATATGCCAAGACACTCCGATTATTGCTTCCATAGTTGTGGCAATTCAAATRGATTTACGACCAGCTGAGTTGCCAGGTAATCTGCTTTTATCTTCATTCTCCATAAAAAGCTTTTTCTGTCCTTTAAGCCAGATGAATTCAAAGATGAGGGGTATGGCTGCAAATTCATAATTGGCTTAAGGCAAAACGAGACAGTGCAGCTTTCCCAGTAGATATTTTGTCCCTGCTTCTCCTATCATATTCCTACATGTCCACTCCCACTCTTGCATTTTCACTAGCATCAGTAACCCTACAGAAAAGCTCCTGGGCTGCAAGAAGCAGTTTCCAGTCACCAATTGACTCATGGCAGTCACCAGTGCAGACACAAGGCTTGGGGGGCAGCAGGAAGCCAGATGACAGCTAGGGCCATGGAAAGAGGAAAAATACTCCTTCAGGCAGCCTTCAAGCAAGTTTAGATAGATTTTAAATCTTTACAGGACTGAAGTCAATTTGGCACAAGGGAGGGGGCAGCTACTATCAGCAGGAGACAGAAATGTGCGAATAGAGGCAGGAACTCTGAAACCAGCTCTGCACTCAGTGAATGTTTCATGTGGAATCACAGGCTACTCGAGGGAGCCCCATATCTGGGTGACATTTCCCAGCAAATAACCCAGGCCAATACCACAGGATCAGACTATTGAGCCTTTGAGAGGCCACCAGCCAAAAGGAGGGCCTTAACACCTTGAAGAGCATCCATGAGAACCTGGGAAGAGTCACAAAGTGACTCAATGTGAAMAAGTGCCTACCATGTGTCTTTATGTCATGCAAATACTACAGTCCTGTCAACATGTAATGAGATTGAAGAAAGGCCTCTGAAGACAGAAGWAGTACAGAGGAAAAGTGGCAGAACTGCAAGGATCAGAATCTCAAAWGCTCCAGGCACTGCAGGAGCCAAAATGAGACCCCTGTTACATGAGGGTAACACAAGCAGTTTTACAGGGTCAAGCAGTTGGCAGACTTGGCTCACAGAGCCTGCAAAGCTCTATCTCCTTACTTGGACAGTTTAAGATCTTTTGTCCTATACAAAAAAAAAAGCAGCTATTTGAGAAAGGCAAATATTGTGATGGGTCTATAAACCTATTGTCTGTGTGTGTAATTCTTTTCATGTGCATATCAGCATCACCAACAAAAAAATTACATATTCTGTAGCAAAGCTGACTCAAAGCAGTCGGGCAGTATCCTATTCCTTCAGCAGTGTGACGACACAGCAAATAATTTCAAGTTAACCTTGATYTTTTTCCAATACTATTCCCAAAAGACAAAAAGATGAATTTTTATCCTCCTTCAGCCTCAATAATAAGTCAACACTTCTATTCAGCCATGTCCACCCCAACCAAAATCCAAGACAACTGTGAGGAACCAACAGGCCTCTACAGATCAGACTTAGTTCCCAAGTAGAAGTGCTTATTATACTTTTTTGTATACATACAGTGTAGAGCTGAGCATCTCCTCAAAGAGTTGGCCAGTAAAGCTGAAATGGGGCTTTATATTCATGCTGAGCAATAGCTCTTATTTTTCATGATTTGGCAGTTATAGAGGATTGCATGGTGGTATTCATTGTCTTTTCACTTCCTTCGGAGTAAATTAGTAGCAATCATTCTCAACAAATATAAAGGGACAGGAAAACTAAATCCCTCCACTTTTAACAAAATTAATGAAGAGAATGGCTACAACAGAGTGTTTCATTTGCTAAATACCATTTATGCAGAGCACCAATGACCTTCCAGTGAGACTCTGTTCAGAGGAATGGCTCAAAGCAGCTGCCTTCCTGCTACAAAATCCCCGCCACCCGGCTGGCTGGCCAGCTGATGGGTTTTCCTTGGTCAGCTGCCAGGTGACCAGCTTCAGTTTGCACCATGTGCTTTCAGTTCGCACGTGTCACACTGATCTTTCAATTCTCTGCTCAGTGAAGAACGCGACACATCATAAGTGCAGTGATTCAAGCCAAACTGCATTTCTCTAAACTTCAAATTTACTACAATTTTGTTTTTAAAGAGGAGCACTGCTATAGAGACAAGTGCTACTTGACCAGTTCATTTAAAACCATACCTGCTTTAACAATTCCCCAGTACAGCACACATTGCCATCTTGGAGCCTGCAGTTTTCTCACATGCTCTGCTGATGAAAACCCTTTCGTGGCTGCACAGAGCGTGATGTGTTTGTTCAATGTCCTCAGCTGAYGGTGCAGCATTCTTCATTTATGTTAATAATAGAATCATAGAATGCCSAAGGTTGRAAGGG